GCAGCAGAAATGAAACAGATTATTTTACTCCTAGAGTGGATTGTGAACCTAGTTTCAAAATGTCTTTAGTTTACTCCTATCAAACCCAAACCAAACAAAGTACTGAGCCCAACAGCACCAGAATTGTGGTTGATCCTCAGTTAACTTGCAAAGTAAGAAACAGTAATATAATAAAAGAATTGTCCCATATGTGTAGGAGAAGGGATGTCAGAGCCAGGAGGGGGGAGTAAAAAGAGGAATCAGTTTAGAATTGTTATGTAGATCCAAAGTCCAATACTTTCTTGATTGTCCTTGATTCTTAGCTAAATCTAACCAGGTGCTGACCATTTGTTGAGAATAGGCTTTTAGCAACAAAAGATTTAAATTGAGCCTTCATATGTTGACCTGGTTCTTTGTGCCTCACAATAAAGCTCTTATGTAGGGGTGTCAAACTCACATCATCACAGCAGCATCACATGATGTATTGGGACTTTTTTCCTCTTTGCTAAACTGGGCAGGGGCAAGGCCAGCATGTGACACATCTGGCCTGCGGGCTGCAGTTTGACACCCCTCTTATTTCTTAAAAAGAATGGTTTAGAACAATGTTAAATACAAGGCCCATGATGTGGTTGGATCCAGCCCACAGGGCCGCCCTGGAAAATGTAAGGGGCTGGCCCGTGTTGCTTTGGCCAATGAGAATAGTAAACATTGGACCAGCATGGCTTCAGCCCAGTCAAATGCAAAGAGGAAACATGCCAGCAGTTTGGGGAGTGGTGTCAAGCTGACCAAGCCCACCCAGTTGGTCTCACCCACCAAGTCAGCCATCTCTGCCCAGCCCCCCAAGGTCAATCGCAGCCCTGATGAAGCCCTCAATGAAATTGACACACCTGGCATAGAACCAGGGTTAGAAATCCAGTGTAGTAGTGAAAGTGTTGAACTAGTATTGTGGCCTAATTTGACCCCTTTAGATCAGTTGCTGACAGCACAAACTATCTCAAAGGGTTAGAGAAAATGGTATGCTCCAGTGAGCACCTGAAGGAAAGGCAGAATAGAATTATAACAAACAAATAAAATAAACAAAAGCAAGATAATTTATATATGTGCTATTGGATTTTCCCTATCTCTCCTCTCACCATTGAGATCTAAATCTTCTCTGTAGCATCCCCAAACCATTAAAAAAGAAGGTTGTATTCTGCCAATTGATAAACTGGAGATGATACAAACCAAAAAGATTTATGGATTTAATCACAACCTGAAATACTGGGACATAAGACTTTTAAAAGCTTTATTTGAAGACTTCAGGTACAGTACCTCTCCAAACTTATCATTTTGAACATGAAGAAAATACAGGATCCAATCTGGGTCCGTTTCCAGGAGGTTTAGTCTTCACAACCAAGCACCATATAAATAACACAGAGAGAATAGCCCAAAGCACACACTCTGTTAGAGATAAGTTCCCTGAGAGTTGGCACCAGCATGAGTCCAAAAGTTCAAGAGACTAAACCTCTGGTTCAAGTAACTGACCCAGATTGGTTCCTGCAACATTATCCTGGGACATGAATATTCGCCTATATTCATGAAGAAAATGATACAATATGTGAGTGATCATTTATCACACAAACTGCTTTTAAGTTTCATCAAATTTAAAATTTTGTTCTACATGGGGCTCATGCACTTAATTTTATAGCTAAATTCTGGGAAGATATATTAACTACTCCTTTACAGAATTCAGCTGTGGAATTAAGTTATTTCCTAGTTTGGGGACAGGCAGTACCTACCTCGATCCTCAGTTACACAGGTATTCCATAGAAAAGCCCTACCACATTGAAGGTACCCTATCTTAAGAAGGCTGACAATTTCATTTCATAAAATAATCTTTTTATTATAGAGTAAAATGTATCCAGATATGAAGAAGATGCTCAAATTTACCCTCTTTTCCTCATTCATTCTTATAGCCAACTTTGTACTCTCTGCTTGGGAAAACAAAGTTCATTCTTGATCTCTGATTCAAGGAGATGCCATTTCATAACTGCAGTGGTTTGAGATGGTGACTTGATTTCTTTAAAACGGTGTTTATTTAAAGGTTATTACTGGTGAGAGACGCTCAGCATGTGCCAAAGAAATTTGCTATTAGGTGATTAGCTCAATGGTAGGCTTTCATGAGGCCATTTATCTAGGTAGATTTCCCTGTCAATTCTCCTGCATTTTCTGTTTACAGTAGCACAAAAGAGGTGGCAAAGTGACTGACACCTAGTCTGGAGTACATTGCAATTTTCCAGTGGAAGACAGCCTAAAGACATGGTTTCACTGAAGTGTTTTCTTTCACAAAGCTCCAGAGGAAATTCAGTGAGATTAGGAAAGATACACTGAACCCATGGGAAGATTATCAACATTTTTTATGATACGTGCATGACATAAACAAAAGTGACATCTTATGGACATATGCAAATTTTGAATGAGCCGGTCTTTCCAGAAGGGAAGGTTAAAATGGGGCTACAAAAGTGCTGATACACATCATCAGCAGTTATCATGTATTTATGTATCATTATTAGTATAACTTATTAAATAATCATTTTGTTGTAAAAAGTGGAACATGAGGAAATTAAATTTCAACATGTACAAGGGAAGCATCCTTCTCTTTGTCTTTAAATAATATATGTGGGCATAAACATTTATGTTTGTAAATAGGCAATGCATCTCCAACTCTACAAAGTACTCTCAAATATGGGGGCTTTTTAGTTTCCTGAGTATACTTACGGAAAGGTTAACTTAGAAAATCACCATCTAAACCAGGACTGGCAGCAAATTTCCAAGACTTCCTTAGAAGTCTTTTGTTTTTCTTTTAATGACACTATAATCCTTAGCATCAGGGTGGAGTCAGGGTGACTGGAGCTGAGCATTTACTGGCCAGATGCCCTTCCTGACACTTATGCAGAGCTCACAGCAGATATTCTCTTTGCACCTAGAGAAAGAAATATCTGCCACTACCTAGGATCAAATTCACAGCCTCCTGATTGTGAGGTGACAGCTCCATCTCTAGGCTACTATGCTGCTCCCCTTAGGAGTCTTCCTTAATTAAATTAAATCTTTCTGCTTGTGAGCAGGTGTTCTGCCTGGAAAGGCAAATGGAAATCCCTTCATCCTGGGACATACATCATGTTTTTCATATTCTGCATTAAAAGAATAATGCACTATGAACTATAGCTAACCTTCTAATTACTTTAAATATATGATGGCCCTTATGTTTTACTCTGCATTTTCTAATAAGGGCATCCATCCCAGGAAGAGGGGCTTTCCATCCTGCATCTCCAAGTAATGCTGAGACATTTATTTCTTGTGTACAAATAAATAGAAATGACTCTTCAACCTGCAATTTATTATGTAATGAGCACATTAGCTATAGCAAAATATAATAACGTCCAGACTTCATTCTATTTTACATTGTAACAAAATATAAAAAACTCTAAACAAACTAAACTAAAAGCTATAAACCAAACTAAGTGTTTTAAGCAGAATTTTGTACTTAATAGGTTAACTTATTTCAGTCTACTATAACTGCAAGAAAATCTGGAATACAGCTGCCAAGATTCTATTTTCTCACATCTAACAGCACATAACAAGACAATTTCCAATCATAATAATTGACAGGTGGCAAACAAGAATACAAGAGAATTAAGATTAAAGTTTGAAATTTTATTTGGAAGCCTTTGAATCCCTCCCCCCAAAAAATGTTTTATTGTAAACCTTGCCAAAATGCGTTCAAAGGCTACAAACAGACTTAGCATTAGTGTCCTTATCGGGTTTAGCATTTTCCAATTCCATTCTGTTTTGTTTTCATTATTTTCATTGCTTTTATTCCTCTGACAATGTTTAAATGGAAAATAGGGACCACTCTTTTAAACTACACAATGCACACTTTTTATCACTGAAGCTGAAGAAAGGAACTATACAAAAGCAGCTTATCCTACAGATGCAGTCTATCGTAAATGAACAGATGCACCGTGGATGCAAGCTGCATGTAATGATTTTGGATCCTCATTTCTTGCTATTGATAAGTATCAACATGATTTCCATCTGTGGCACTGCAGTTACTTATCCTTTGCTATTCCGGTCTGGACCTTTTGCCTAAGCAGCAATTCTTGTGCAGCCAGTTTCTAACAACAAGAGCAGCTGCCTGTGCAAATTCATCCTGAACCCACAGGAATTGCTGTGGAAGAAGGAAACATGATTGATTCTGCTTCAGAATTAACTCATTGGGATCGGTCTGCATAAACGGGTTGGCATGCCTGGCTTTTAACTAGGAGACAGTAATATTGCTTTTCACTTCAAGGCTCCATGATGCACTTTCCTGCATTTTCCTAACCCTGCTTTCTGCTATCTACCAGCCTCTGTGCTGCACTGGCCAATTTGTTTACCCTCCCCCCAAGTAAGGTTGCAGATTCCATATATGTAGTTTCTATTGCTTTTGATTCAGCAGACGTAGCTGTCCCTATTTTTTATGGCATTTTTTTTTCAGGAGCCAGGGTATTTTGCACTCGGAAAAGAGTTTGTGCAGAAGATCGTTCTATTCCACTGATTACTTTAGGGACCATTTTCTTTCCAAGCTCAATTTAAGTGTTGGTATTAACTTGAACCTGGTTCTCTGAAAATAGACATGGCCCTCTAAATGTTGATGAATGACAGGTCCCAGAAGCCCTGACCTAGATGTCAGTAGAAAAGAAGCCAGGAACTGGAGCTCAGCAGCCTCTGAAAGATCAGAGAATCCCCTCCCCTATTTTAAGCTACCTTGAACTTAAAACTTAAGGGATTGCTGACCCAGGATTTAAGATCTGCACTGCCAACAGCAAGGACAGAATTATTCAATTGTGGTACATTTGTGACAAGTATATTATATTCAGAAGTAAACCCTAGTTTTACCACAAGCTTGATTATACTATTCAGGAACTACCTTCTATGCTGACAACTTTCTACTGATATCCCATCAACTAGGAGATATATGCAGTGTACTGACACACATTCAGGATGATAAGTGAGGTTTGTCTGTTTATATACTGCACCCAATTCAGAAATAATTATTTTGGGGAGAAACTCTGTCTTCTGACAGGGTTCAGGCATACATATCAGTTTGCCAGACAGGTATTCCACTGGACGGAAAATGGCATTGTTGCTGGCTGAATAAAATAAACCATGGATCCATATTCTTTTTTCTTTTTTTTTTCAAACCCCTCCCCACTTTGTCTTATTCTTTATAGTGAGTTAGCCTATCA